GATAAGGACTTTGTCATTCTAGTCTACATTACAAGCAAAGTTTTAGAATTTAGCAACATATATGGTGGTTGATTGTGATTTTTTTTAAAAAAATAAGAGCTTAATATTTGTTACTCTTTCTTCATCACTTTCTTCAAATGTGGCTATAAACTTTTCTAGGAAAGAATTCAAATCATAAAGGAGTTATGAATCTTTTTTCATCAAAAGTATAAATCAAAAGAAAGCACTTTCAAATAGAAATGCATTTATGAATCCAACTTGAGTAAATCTATTAAGATATTAGAAGGAATTCAACATTAATTAGAGCTTGACTTGTCGTAGAAATCCTCAAAATTTTGAATTTGTTCCATCAAATTTTTTGGGCATATTAATTCTTATCTTAGTTATACTTGTAGAAGCAAAATTTCCTAGATTTGGTTGTAAGGTTAATCTACTTATTTCTTTCAATTGCACAATTTCTTGATACAAACTCTGAACTTCTTTCATAGGCATAGAATTAGTGTTTCCATGGTTAGCATTAGTGATGCATGAAATTTCTACCCTAGAAGTATTGACAAGTTCTTGAAGATCTGCAAAAGTTGCAAATCTATTCTTACTTCCATCAAGTGAAGTATCTATAATTTTTTCTTTCATTTCAAGCAACTTAACAAATCCACAAGTCAAATTAGAGGAAGATAATCCGTAACCTCTAATGTCAAAAGAGGAATAACTTGCTTTCTTTAAGATAAAAAAATCAATGTTAGAAAATTAAATAATTTATTTAAAGGTAGATAATTCGTAACCTTCAAAATACAACAATAGAAGTGGAATAATCCACTCACTTCTAAAACAAGACAAGAATAATGAATTAGCATTTTTATCAAACTATTAAAGATATGAATCTCAAAGAAAGAAATCTTCAATACATTCTTATGTCACTCAAAAAGATTTAAAAATCACTTATAGATGATATAGTATTAAATTAGAATGGCTATTTCCAAAGATAAAAAGATTAGAAAGTCTTAAAACAAGACTTAGGACTAGAAAGATATTAACAAGAATGAAGAATGCTTCATTTTTGCCTCTATATATACTCTTTAATTAAAAGCTATGTGGTGATCTTCTATAGGACTTCCAACATGTATTTACTTTGCAAGACATATGTCTTAACTTGCAAGGTAAGTTATCTATATGTGTGCCACATAGTTAATTTATTCTACAAGCTACCAATATATATAGTATGTGGTTAATTTGTTGACCAAGTTTCAAACTTATCAATCAATTATAAATATGTGTAAAGTCAAAACCGTGTAGATAAAACTTTTAAGAAGCTTTTCTAAAAAATATTATGAAATCAATCCATATTTATCTACTTCTATCTAATTATATAAATAATTATTGAAGTAAATATTTATGTCTATGATACCAACTTGAATTCAAATTTTTCAAATTTAAGAATGAAATGAGAATATAGGTTATTAAATCAACTCACGTGTTGTATTAGAACAAAAACTTATAATAGAAGGATCAATTGTCAAGTGTTAATTAAAGAAAAGTAGAAAAATTCTAAATATAAGCAAAATAGAGTTAGTTGATGAAATATAGCTATATATAGACATTCTAGCAAAAAATTCTAATTTTTAAAAAGATCTTAGAGAGCATTAATTGAATATATTTTTAGTATCTTAAGGGCATCTCAAAAGAATCTAGAATATTCTAAATTATAATATTAGATGGCCATATATGATATAAATATAACTTAAATATGTAGTAGACATAATAGTAGATTTTATATGGGATATAATCAAAATACCATAGTGTACGGATCAAAATATAATAGTTATACAGATAGTATACCGTTCTATATATGTTAGCTACATAGTAAAAAATATAATAGCCCTATAGTAGAAAATACAACTGAAATACAATATACAATACAGCACTAGATACTATGCCATACGGTTATCCGGATTCGGGTGGAGGCCAAGCTATCGACATCCGGTCGTTGAGAGGCGGTTCTTGAACCGCTTGTGTCTTGACATCGGGTGCGTCTTTGCCATCGTCGCAAAGTCAGCCGCCATAGGAGATTATGGTATGAAAGTGGGGCTCTACTTTAGCCGTAAGGTGTCATATAGCTTTACGTTGTGGCGCCTATAATATAGTTCGACTGGAGAAGTGAAGGGAAGTAGCGCACATGTAAAGAGTTCAAGTGAGCGTGGTTCCATTTCCCATATTAACATTCACAAGTCTTTTTGATCAGAATTGGGATTGATCTTGGACCTGCTGACGTTAGCGGCCTACTAGTGTGGTTGCGGACTTCCACAACAATCAAATCAAAGACTTGTGGATTTGCAACAAAAGTAAGGAGGCAGCGGCGACTGGGATCGATCTCTTCTCCGCTCAAGTGGCGAATTCTGGTGGTGCTTGAACCTAGTGGCTGCGGTGAAGTACACAAACTGGGTGCTACATTCAAAGAAGATTAAGTGGTGAGTCCGACAATCGTCGAAGTACAGAGTGAGCTTGCGATGCAGCGAGGGGGTAGGAACTAATGAATTGTAATTAGCATTATTATCAATTCTTGCAGCGGTGCTGATCAAAAGGTCGCGACATTGTTGTCCTCCTTGATCCACTGTCAAAGTGCAAGACTAAAAAGATTGAGGTTGTTACCAACTAAGTTGAAGAGGAATTTGGTTGGTGGATTCTCAATTGCAGTGAACCAAAATTTGTTGCTGAAGCTCTCATCACGGGAAGAAAATGGAAGAAACCAGTGCTGCCTTGGAGTTGGTCGCATGAAGCATTTACCCTGAAGCTCTGATCTGCTGCGACAATCCCTGTGGCAACAACGACAACCTATCTTCATCCACAAATCATCTTTGTGTGATCTTGAGTAGGAAGTTAAATTAGGTTAGGTTTGGATTAGGTTAATTTGGATGAAAAATATCGGATGAACTTTAATCAAAGATAAACTTCAATCGATTAGATGATAAGTTGTAGATGAAGGTTGCTTAAAGTTGGATGATTTCTTATTTCTAGATGAAAATTCATTCACGGATGAGAAATTATAATTGGATGAATTTTTAGTTTTTGATGATAATCAATATCATATAAAAAATAAAATAAAAATTAATTTAAAAATTAATTAATACATTTTTAAAATTTCTCTTTTAAGTGTGTGGTTTTTGAGTTGTTTAAGTGGCTTGTGTGATGTTGTTGTGGAGGTTTGAATGTAAAGTGTAATTGGCCGGTGAATTAAGAATTTAAGACAAAGTGAAAGGCAACTTAAGCAATTAAATTAGAAGCTAATTAATAGTTGTGAAGTGGAATAAATTACTTACTAGAGTGGTTTATTTTAAATCACAATTGGAATGTTATAAGACTTCTTGGACATTAAATCAAATGCTAATCACAATTGTTCAAATAGTTAGATAATTAAATCATTGTGGATTAGAATAGACTTCTAACTAGTGGGGGTTTATTTTACTTCATAGAGAGCTTTAAAGATTTGAAGGTTACTATTGATTAGACTCTCAATAGTGACTACAATGACATAATTGTTTATTTTAAGCTGAGATCACTCTTCTTATACTTCATTGATTGAATCAAATGGATTGATTGATTTGATTCCAAGTTTGGTTCTCCTATCTACTTCAAATCTCCAAATATCAAGTAAATATTTTAAACACATGTGAAGAGGATGATCGTATTTGCCACAATAAAAGCACTACACTATATTTTCTTATAGTGAATAATTTTGAGATGAGAAGCTCTGTAGTGAATATTCTTGTTGAGAATTTATTCTTCCATAATAAGTTTGGAGGCCTCTATTACAATGATGTTAATTTCTTCCACAAAAGTATAAGACTTTGTTATTAATTGACTTTCCTCTTCTTTTGTTTTGTTGGTGACTCCCTTCTAATAGTAACCTTTTATGGAGTTATTCCAAAGTTGGATATCTCCCTACATTAGTAAAGTTTTGCACAAAGTAGTCAAAACTCTCAGGAAGTACTTTTACAACAATTTAAACTAGATCTGCATCATTGATCTTGACATCTATTATAGATAGTTATGACAAGATCTATTATAGATAGATATGACAAGAAAGTATTCTTCAACACATGTGCTCTCAAAGAAAGAAATGGACAACAATCTATTTTTTAAGTCAAACTTTCTACAATTGTTATTGATCTCAAAAGATTGACATAGAAAACCTCAAAGACTCATTGGATCCTAATATTTAGTGATCTCTTCTAAGAAACTGGACTTAATTGACATTGTGAAGATATATGTCATGTGTTCTATCTTATTGTCATCCAACTCCTCTTCTATCAACTCTTGTTTTTTGCCTTTATCAACTTCCTTGGAAGATGAAAAGGCACTTGGAGACTCAAATAGAAGAATCCAAAGTTTTTCTCATTTTGCAATACAAGTAATCAAGTACCTCCACAGGTGAATGTTTGATGATCCTGGAAGCTTGGCCTCATCTGGAACAATACTATCCTTTGTCATGATTGCTCGACTTGTGCAATAGATTATACAGATAGATCTGGACTTCTCTCAAGCCATCTCAACATCACTCTGATACCATGTTCAACACATGCATACACACATACTGACTCACAGAAAGAGCAATATATTTCGACCCGAACAGCGGCATATATACACAGCAGGTGTGATGAGGGACAACTGACGAACAGAGTGGCTCGAAAGTGGATGAACAGAATATTGTCAACAATTGACTGTCACAATAAGTCAGTGATTTAGTGATCATGGAAACGTTTTAGCATTCATGCCATTATCTTTTAGATCATAGTCTTCAAGGTCTATGTCCCACTTGTTGAATCGACCGTGGTCCATCAACAATGCTTGAATCACTTGACGACATGGCCCTCCGATAATATATGATTGTTAAGGATGAGAGCGGACCGTGTTAAGGTTTCGTAAGCAGACGATAGAGTCTCCTTCCTGAAGACGAGTCAGATCAATCTGCAGCTAGAGAGCAGTATCTAAGATTTAAACAATTGTTAACTTTCCAAACCATGGCGGGATGAGATCCCGATATCCTGAATTAAAATTACATGAGTATTTTAGGCAGCATAGTGTGAGCAATTGCTCGCTAATTGGACAACGTCTTGCACGCTTGTATAGCAAGCTGAAATTTTGAAGAACTATGAACACGGGTGGGAAGAAATTTCTTTGAAAGTAATTTCTTTAAGTCACAGAAATTGGGTGGTTCTGAGTCGTCTCTAATGTTTAAACTAATAACATCCAATAAATAATTTGCCCATTGATGATCGTTATCAATAGTGTTTACTTGCCACTGAAGTTCATACTGTATTAGGTCGTTGAGGCATCAACAGATTATAAAATCTATTGGCATGGAAGAATTCTTTACCGTTAGCTCCTACAGCTCTTTTCCAACCACACCAACCTCCACTGCGAATGCTTTTTAAGTCCTCACCACCAGTGTAATGGGGATCTAAGATCAAAAAAGCACTCTCCCCCGTCATCTCATTGTAATCAACCCCCAACAAGGTATATGCTAAAACACCTCCACCTGCACAGAGCTCGAGTATTTTTTTTTAGGAACCACAAAATCGCACCGTAAATATAATTTTAAAATGTGGAGTCTAATAATGTTGTCAAGCTCAAATGTCACATGTAGTGGTAAAACTAGTCAGTTTCAGAGCAAAGTAGGTCGAGAATTTACCTATCATTATGGGTGTGCCTTGGGTCCTGAAGTGTTGCGCCAACTCTCTGCATTTGTTGGGTAGTTCTTTACCGCTTTGCACATCCAAAATCTTGCATTGGACCTGCACGAATTACAAATTTGACATTGATGTTATCACTGAAAGTAGAACTTTCAAAAAATTCCTGTACCTCAGAGATTTCAAATCCTGTTAATTTCATTTGTAATTGAATAACGTAAGATTTAGCACTCAAGTTGATTAGATATTTGCGTACACCGAGTAACTTGTCGAGCACGAAAAAGATCTCCATTGAGCCAATCCAGTCTTGTGAATCAATAAATGAAGGTTCCTTATCCCCAATGTCAACTAAAATTTTCTGTACTTCCCTGCAGCAGAAAAAAAGGGATGGGTCAACTAGAAGCCTACTTCTTTGGCCGTTTCTTTGACCTCTATACACAAAGGCATCCATGATCAAGAATAAAACCAAAACCATCCAAGTTGCGATTGATTTTATAAAAGACGAGATTTTAAAGAGTAAAATTCATGCGTTAGACGCAGTGGCTTCCCACTCTGAGCAATTGCCAAAGCTCTCGACGAGGATTGAACGGCTATATGTTTTCTATACGGAAATGGAAAGTAACCACAACGATGCGAGTTTTCAGTTACTCACAGCTTTGCACACGATGGTGAATCCATTCATTTATTTCGTATCTTCAAATGGATTAAAACTTTCCAGTTAGTAGCAACATCGAAAGTTAACATGAGGAACAGCTTGAGAAAAACTCTACCTGTGACTAGGAACAGGCACCGATGTGTACTGCTGCAGTCTGAACCAAGAGACAATAGTTTGCAAGGATCGATAAGCACATCCCCAGCCCTGAAAAAGAAGTGGACATCACTCTCTCGATTCCTTGGATATGACAGTGCAACCACACAGTCGATGAAACGAACCAACATTTTTTTCAAATTGAAAGAAGTAGCAAAGTCAGCTTAATAATCACTCACACAAAATTCTCGTCATGAGAACCCTAAACTCTTAAATCGTAAAAACTATCAATGCAGGTTCAATACTTAGACAAATCTTCAGATATAAAGCACAAATATTGATTTTAACTCTACCACCAAGTAAAAAATTAATACTACCAGTACAGGAACTCACGTTGTCATCAAAACGGTCTTGCAGATAATGATAATACTCGTATGAACCATCAACGAGGCTCTGCGTGCCACCCGAAACTGCAATAACAGGGAATGTCACCAAAAATGATTACCAAAAATAATGATCAATGACTTTTTACAGTTTGCATCCATCATAACTCAAGTGTTTCCAAATCACCAGAAAAATCGGGGACTAACAAAATAAATCCTTCAAGAGCCAAACTGAAGTGCTGATAGAATGAATCAAAAGGAACCCGCCCAATAAGCTCACTGACAAATAACAAATATATAAAAGATGGAATTTAAACAATTGTTGAAGAATGGTTACTGACCTCCAGAAGGGGCTAGCCCCACGTGGACATCACACAATCTTCTTGATCCTGCAAGAAAAAGTCTAGGACTCTGAGTAGCTCGAACATTTGAGAAGAACTGTGATGTTATGATGAGGGATATGATCAGAACAAATGTATCTGGACTAGGACTTCACCTAAAGAAGAACTAGTGGATTCCATGGTCGTCAGGGCATTTGCAACTCGAAGCAAAGGTCGATCCAAGGGAAGTAAGAGTCTTTGGTGCAAGGACTTCCTACTGTTCACTGCCACATGATCAGCCGCACTCTTTAATGAAAATCGAACGTTAGCAGGGTAATTAAGGTATGGAGAATTAACAAATCGTACCGTATTAAAAGATATGCTACCTTCTGAGCCATCTTAATGACACCCGCATAAGGGAGAACGACTAAACCCAGCTATTTTTGGTTTCAATTTCATCTAGAATCCTAGATCCTGGTCCAGTAGACCATATTAACAGCCTAACCATATTAGATCGTGAGACTTTAACCTCCGACATAATCATCGAAAGAAATAATGACATGTATAGTACACAACAAGTGTTGTTTTTTGTTTTGACAATATTTACGCGTGAGGGTAAAGACCTTACCAAGAGCAGTCTCATTTTCTCCGTAACTCAGATCATAAATTACTGTTATAGGACAGCTCAAGGGACAAAAATGGAATGCTGAAATCTGAACACAAATACGTCACATCCACAAATTCAATACAAACTGTTTCCATCAAAAACAATTTTTGGCGTGCTTGACCTCTACGCCGTCCTTCCGAAAGCCTACTTTCAACGGTATAGCACGTCCTAAATGTGCTATGAAAACTGCCAACAGACTATACTCAAATGCATGAGGATGTTTATTTCACCACCAAATTAATCATAGATAGTATAGTTGTACCTTGGAATCTTGAGATGCGTTCTTCTTCGCCATCTTGGACATTAAGCTCAATTGATCGCAAATAGCAGGTACGACTAAAGACGTAGCTGCCTCTACTACCGACAAATGACTTGGTGCAACACAAAGCACATCCACGTTCAACTTCAATAGTTGCACTGCCACTGGAGACTTTGCTGCAAGACATATGCATGAGGACCAACTCCAAGTTACACAAATTGAATTATTCACATGTAGCCTTTGCTCGATATGTCCATGTAAAAACCAATGTGTGCAATGTTAAAAAATAGCTCCAAAAAAACCACAATAACATCCACTCTCATACTAAATTGATGATGTCCTATGAAAGAATATTAAAAATAAAATAAAATAAAAATGCTTACCAGGTAAGTTCTGCATGAGAAGAGAAGTGTTATTTTCCTTCGAGGAACAGGACATGACGGATAGATTGACTGCTGCCGGAATCTGTGTCAGTATCCACAATGAGTCAAATGCCGTTAACTGACAGCAGCAGCTTCCAGCCTGTTAGGAAAAAATACAAATTACACTTAAGAACAGAAAATTTTTATCACAAGCAAAAGAGTTTATGTAGTGGAAGGATATAAGAGGACCAGAAATTAAGAACCTGGTGTCCTCCTGGAGCTAAAAGCGGCTGAGAGGAACGGAGGCTCGAACAGAATACAGGATCCTGGGAACTTTTCTCTCTAGACAGCGGCAAAAGCATCGGCCCGTCTGGGCCTTCAGCTAGAAATCGTGCCTTGCTGCTTTTCAAGTCCTCAACCATGTTGTTAATGGCTCCAGCAGCTTGCTCCTCATACTCTGAATGACGAACTTGGAGACATCAATTAATCGTGCATCACAACTAAAAAGACGGTGTAGCAGACAGCTAGAAGCCACCTACTAAACAAGTAATCACCGACTATATTCTGTCGATTATACCTCCCCAAATCACACACGAAAACAATGCGAGATAATTATAATCTTCAATTCAAGCTGACCCTTTCCTTGGTTTCTGACAAATTCCTACGCTGAATTTTAGCATCCAAAATACAACTGCGATTCTGTATCATCAAGGACCCAGATGTAGACAAAATACCTAAGATCCTAAACCTCGCAGTTGAACATATGACCAGTGACACAACCTGCGATTCAATACCTGAAGCAGTGGCAGACTGTGGCAGGTACAGCGGCATCTTAAACTGCATTTTGCAACGAAGGAAAATGGCATCGTCCCAAACACCATTCTCAAATTCTTGTACATCAATTTCACGTAAACTGGATGCGTTTCCAGCCTGGTACCGACTATACCCCAACTTAAAGCTGGAGCTCGACACTGAAGCAGCTACAATACATCCATTGTCTCTGTTTGGCACCTCAAGCTTTTCCCGCAGTTCCAAAGCGATTCGTCCTCCACTTGACAATTTCCCTCCCCCTTTATTAAGCACAACGGCACCCAGAACTTCCAGTCCTCGAGGCAACAATACGCGCAGTTCCTCTGCCCCAGCACAAAATTTTATCAGTATTCGCATTACAGTAGACAACACATCCTACTGCAACAAAACACAACAGATGCACTCACACATGGCAGTGCTCATGAATCAATGCAACCCATCAACGAGCAACACCAACCACCCCTCCTGCGATTACCAACCCCTAATCACAACCAGCACCATGGAGACCACCCAAAATTCACCCGCACACAACCGTGATCAAACGAACTCCAAAAAGACCATCACCAGCTTCCGCGACGACGTCAGGCTGAGCATCGTTCCGATGCAGGCAACGAAGGAAGGAGAGCACCGTCAGCGCAGGATGGGACATTCCAATAATCCAAGCGATCCCTTCAACTCCCCGCAAGCCATCCTCTGCGCCACGCAGCACTCGCAGCGTATGGGTGGAGCTCTCTTTCGCCATCGCCATCGCCATCGCTTAGAGGAACCCCAATTCTCTTCGCCAGCAAGCTCATGTATCACTCACTCTGTCTTCCTGTGCGTGTTGACGAACAAACACCCCACTTCGAAAAACAGAGCGAGACCCAACTGATCCTGGCGACCTGGAAGCAGCTGTGCGCCATCTACACAGACAGGCAATGCCCCATCGATTCGTCACTGCTCGTCGAATCTTCGGGCTCCGCCGCGGCGTCGCTACCAGACCCCGCTTCGGAAAACCACGACGCCCCGCTTTCGTGCGGACCCACTTTCACTTTTTCAAAACATAAAAGGAAAATTGTGTGTTATGTTTTCACACAACCCCATGACGCTTACCATGCATGCCTACTTTTACTTTCTCAAAACGTAAAAAGTAACGACATGCGTTGTATTTGTCCTTTGTATTTGACGTTTTTTTGAATGGAAAAGAGCTTTTTGTGTAGCTACATTTTTGTACAAGATAAAATTGCTTATCACTCATTTAAACTTAAAAGACTTTCATTCAACCCAAGATGCTATATTCGCTTACAAAAATGGAGAATTTGTTAGTGGTGAGGTTTTAATATTAACTATACTACCTCATAAATTCTTAGAGATATTCTATGATATAACTCTCTTAAATGTACTTATCTTTTGAGACTGGTAACTTCTCTTTAATACATATATATATATATATATATATATGGTGCTATAGGCATTTCTTGATGAGAGACACATAACTAATAATGTAATTTATGTGTTAGTTTTTTCATTTAAAAAAATACAATTGTTTCAATTAGAATAGATTTGAACACCTCCAATGCCATGCTCCCTTACATTCACAAAGTAATATCATTCCTACTTGAATATTATTTTATGATTATATTATTAATATTGAGAAGAATTGTGAAAACAAGTAAAACATTTAAAATAAATTAATATCTTTTTTAAGCCTAAATGATTGGTATCAAATTTTGAAATATTAGATATATGTTTTATGATAAAAAATTTAAAAAAAAAAAAAAAAAAAAAAAAAAAAAACTATAAAATTATACATCCAACTTGCACAAATAACTAGAAGTATAACAACATTTGTTTTTCAAAAAAAAATCTTAATTTACCACATGTAAAATGTTCACATTGCCATTCTTTAATTATAACAGTACTACAAATAGAGACTTACAGTGACAAACAAAACTGAGTACAAAATCTGAACACTCATAGTTCATTGATCCTTCCAACTGACACATAAGTCAATTGATAGAATTACTTTTTTATTGTATGTATTCATCCAGTCTTCTACATGGATGAAAAATCTCATTATCATTTGAGGTAGGGTTTATGAGAAAAGTGTTGTAGAAGCACACAGACGTGCGTACTCAGTTTTGGTTGCTTCTTCTTGCTGAATTTCGAAATTTCAATGTACACTCCTTGTTACAAGATTTGAGGGCATTTTTTGTTTGTTGTGTTGCTCTTGTTGTGTACTATCTATAGTGAAAGTTGATTTGTCAATTGTATCTCTATGCCTCGGTTGTGTGAATCATTGAAGCACCAAGCATTGGTGTAGCTTAGGAGTGGTGTTTCTACAAGAAAAGTTACAGACTCACTTGGAATGAGTTAGTCTTCAGTAGCTCATCTGAGGAGGGAGATTAGTGGTGAAATAGAAAAGCAAAGAGGAGGACGTCCAAAGGTTTTAGGAGAGCAAGAGAAGCGACTTGGTATGCACCTTGTCACTGCTGGTTGTCTCAAAACGGCAAGTGCAGTTGCAAAACAACTTCGAGAAAAAACAGGTAAACACTTCTCACACATCACCTTGAGGCATGGTTTGAGAGAAGCTGGTTTGGGTGCTTGTGTGCAACAAAAGAAGCCTCTACTTGCCAAAAGACATGTTCTTGCAAGGTTGAGTTTTGCTCATAAATACAAAAATTGGACCGTTGATGATTGGAGACGGGTTATTTTCAGTGATGAGACAAAGATTAACCTAATCAACTCAGATGGTAGGTCTTGGTGTTGGTTGAGAGAAGGAGAACGACCTGGACCTAAACATGTTAGTCAAACTGTCAAACATGGTGGTGGTTCAATTATGATTTGGGGTTGTATGACTGCTTTTGGGCCGGGTGCTTAGTATCAAATTGAAGGTAGAATGGAGCAACACTTGTACAAAAAAAATTTAGAAACCTACTTGCAAAGTACCACACAGAATTACAACTTAGATCCTACTAAGGTGGTTTTTCAACATGATAATGATCCCAAACATACGGCAAAAAGTGTTCAGTTTTGCCTCTCTTCACAGCCATTTCAGCTCCTTCGATGGCCAGCTCAATCTCCAGATTTGAATCCAATGGAACATTTTTGGGCCCTTCTCAAACAGCGTTTAAGCCAAGTCACTCCAAGGCCAAGAGGTGTTCAAGAATTGTGGGAGAATGTTTGTAGTATTTACCCTAGTTTTGATGCAAAAGATTGTGAGAAACTATACAAAAGTATGCCAAGAAGGATTTCAGCTGTTTTGGAAGCAAAAGGTTATTGGACTAAATATTGAAGTTTGAAGATTTTCTTTGAACAATATTGAGTACAAGACATAGTTATTGAATTGACTTTGTAGAAGGATGTTTAATTATCAATTTGATGTGCAACTTTGTACATGTGTACAAGACTGTGTGTATTATTCCATGTAACTTTCAGATTTATAAAGCAATCATTGAAATTTCTGTAATTGCTCTTCAAAGTTGGCACTTCAGATTTTGTACTCGGTTTTGTTTGTCACTGTATATTACAATATAATGTGACAAACAAGTGATATGGTTTCAAGTCTTAATTACACAAGCAATCACAATATGCTTGAACTTACCTTTGCTAACTATTTGCAAAATCATACAACTGAATTTACAACCAAAACCTAAAAAAACAAATTGCACAAACAAGCATAAAAAATTATGATATTAGGTCCAGCATTGCAACCTTAAAATCTTAATATTACATTTCCACTAGTTGAAGGAAAAATACTTTACGATAGTTGAATAATGATACCATTACCTACATGTATTATCCTCATACAAACAAATGTATCTCTTCAAAATATAAAACAAATAAAAGCCTATCTCCACCATCAAGAATGTCCAAAATTATACAAAGTCCAACCTTAGAGATTCACAACATTTCACAATCCTCTTTAACCCATGTTGTGATTTGTTAGAGTATCTAATCTTATAAAAACTCATTATATGCTTTCTAGTTTCATATTTTTAAGGCTATGCTTTCATGCAATTGATATTAAAAAAACAACACATTATTATTTAATGAAAGTGACTACCCAAAAGTTAACCGACTGACTCAATAACCAGTGACAATCTGTAGAGAGAAATAAATAAGAAACAAAAAAGAAAAGAAAAGAAAGACAAGAGGTCTTTTTAATTCATACCTTACTTTTCATCCACCCAATTCCAACTACTGAAGCAATCCAGGGTTATTTGAATGAACTCATAAACACTCTTCCAAGATTCAAAGACAAGCTGAAAAACTTGGATTAAAGTTGATGGAAAGTGCGTAAAAGACATCGGTGCTGACATGTCTCCATGTAATAAATATCTGTGTTCAAACGTACCCTTGAAAGTGGTGCTAAACCCTCCCGGGAAAACAACTTTTCCCTCTCGAGTCCACTATGGGTCAATCTTCGGATGCTCTGCCGTTATCACATCTGATGCTGATGAAGAATTACGACAAAATATGTTTTTTTTTCTTTTCTACTCAGTGAATTCCAATCCCACTCAGCTGCTTGTAGTTGTGAACTAGAACTTCGGAAAATTGTCGTAAGAATCTGTCATAAATGGGTCCGACCTGAAATCTGTCTAGATTCCCTGCTGTTTCTTTCAAAACTACCTCCTGCTTTCAGAAGGTACAACCAGAAGCTAAACAGCTGAAACTATGATGCGAGATGTGTGAACTTCAGGGGGACAACAATATTCGTGATCTTGAGCAAAACAAACTGGTCCTACTTCTCTACGAGGCTACGTATTCTGTCTTCATCTTAACTACCCGTTGCAGATCTTCCACCTCAACTACTAGATGTTTGAGTGCACTTTCAATTCTACCAAGCATGCGCTCACTTTCTTGTTGTAGCCACTCTTGTCCACCCCTTGTTCGCATCAAAGATAAATAAGAACTTGGATCCATGCAAGAGGAGGGCTGAGCTTGCCAGACTTGACCTTCAACCTTAACCTCGTTGAGTCTGTAACAAAAAAGAGGGAGACAGAAACTGATTACTAAAGCACACTCCAAACACATTAGCACAAACAGAAATAATGTGCAGGGTCGGGTAAACATGAAGACCCTTCACCTCTTTTAAACTCAAATCTTAACAAATACAGGGTTACAAGCCTCAACACAAATATAAGCATGGATAACACTCACCTGCTCAAGATTCTGGGCATGTTTTCCAATTCTGATGGATGGAAATACACATCAACTATACCATCGCATCGTGAGATAACTTTGTCAACCCGCCCATGGAGCTCACATGTTGCTTGAATCTGTTCTGTATTGTCTACAAAGCCAGCATTGTTCAGGCGGACTACAGAGGTCTTTATGGGATCCACTCTCAAGATTGAGTAGTGCATTCCGTTTAGTTGCACAGACTTGGCTGATAAAGCTTTCTTCCGCGCATCCTCTCCCTGGAAGTAGAAGACACCAGTATCTCACAATAAATGGAAACTCAATGAAGAAAGTCTTTAACATAACTTCTAAATGCAATTATTATAAACCTCTGCTTGGAAAACATTTACCTTGAACTCTACATTGGCAATATAACCTCCATGCCCCTCCTTCCTACTTGAGTGTGCAATTTCACCATACTTCGACAAGGCTTCCTTAACTTCTGTTAAAGGTATGTGTAAAGGTACATCCTCTACAGCAACTGAATACCCTGTCCGTCTGATACCTTTAGATTTTGATGGACCAAGGAAACTACCCGGACTATTATCTGAAACTCGCGATTGTGCAAAATCTACTGTCAAAGGATTCACGTTCCCATTTCTGTCTGGGATCTTTGGAGTGCTTGAACTTGGTTCTTTGCGGATGCGTACTCCTTTAATGTAGACCTTGTCCTTTTCTAGTGCCTTCTGAAGAGCCTCCGCAGTCTGTAAGACAAAAATGCAAAATAGGGATATATATATATATATATATATATACACGAATATGTGACGTCAAAGACTTCATTACAGTGCAAGGATATTCTAACAAAAACTAAAGCATACAAAGCCCCCAAGTTTTACTGAGCGGAGCTGAAAAATATGTGCCTGCAGCGTGACTGGATTTTCGGAGCTAAAATCTGTGATAGATCGTAACATGAACATCACAAAGACAATCAAAAAGTTGCAGAGATCTCATGACCCAAATGTGAGCGTTATACGTCATCCATTTCCACAAGCATGGCGGATGTAAATGGCCACAAACCTTGAAGTCCACAAAACCGTATGTATATTTCTGATGTGTCCTTGGCTTGATAGCTTGAGCCCTGATTATTTCGCCGCAATCACTAAATGCTTCCTTCAAATCTGCAGGAGTAGCCTGAGGCGACAAGTACCGTAAAAAGAGACCATGTCTGTCCTCTTGTTCGTCACGTCCATTTGAACCTACCTTCTGAGCAGAATTCTTGATGTTAAGGTCCGTCACATCACTAAAGCTAAGTGCGACGGATCCGGAAGGTGCTCTATTTTCCTTCGTCGAATTGTTTTGATCTACGTCCTGCCTGAGATGGTCACCATCTGATGGCGATTGTTGGGAGGACTGTCGCGGTTTAGAACCCTGCGATGCTCCTAACTTTCGGAGGCGTGACCATAGTCCACTATGAGTCTCTATCTCTCCATGGCTAGACCCAATCATTTGCCCATTGGTGAATGTGACACTCTTCCCCTCAGCCTCTGGAATTCCTTCCAATTCTTCTATGATTGCTCCGTTACCAACGTCTTCAGGATCGAATTCTTCGATACTTCCCTCTGCATCATCGCTATCTTCGCTATCATCACTCGATGTTCCTGAGGTCTCAGCATCAGTGGACATTTCACTGAGCGGATCCCCCACAACACCTAGGCCAGATGCAGAGCTATCTACACCGTCCTCCTCTGGAATACCATCTGTGGCTATTCTTGAGTTAGAAACAATCGAGGATGTCTGTTTGCTTAACTGTGTAAATCGGCTTTGCACATCGTGAAGAATCTCCTTCACCGCACTCCTGCCTCCCCCCGTTTCTTTGAGCACAACACTTACGCTTGGAAACTCTCCTTCGTGAGCTTGCATGTGCCTAGAAAAGAAAAAAAAAAAAAAAAACCAAAAAAGAACATAGAAGTTTTAAAAAATTGCATATGGCAGAATTCAGTGGTGATTTCCGAAACTCCCAGCCCAACGAGCGTTGCAAAGGTACAAATATTTCAATTAAAACAGAACACAGACATTCCTCTTACGTAACCAATTCCACCGCTCGAGATGAAGACGACTAGAACAACTTAGATTTTTTTCGTTTTAATCAGTACAAATTGATTCTCTTCTGCAAAAGTGATTTTCACGCACTTTATAACAAATGATTCAACCAAAGCAGTCCGTTCCTTTCGCGACAACCTCTCCTTCTTCCTTTCCGACGTGGAATCAGCCTCGTGAAATGTAGCAGAATCATGTGCCTCGAACGATGCCTTCACCGTTGCTGCAATCATTCAGCAATATATCACAATCACCAATCCACACGCAAGCGTCCGTAATCACAAAACACATTACTTATCTCCAGAAGTCGATCACTACAACTGCAAAGAAAAATAAAACAAAACAAAACAAAACAAAAAATCAAAAAACAAAAAACAAAACAAAACAAAACAAAGGATCCATCACAGCAGGAGGAAGACCGCTGATTCGAAGACTAAAATCTTACACAGGTTGTTGCAAAGGAATTGGCAAGCTGGAGCCAAATGCGTCAACCCAGTGGCGCGCTTGCTCCACAAACGCAGCGCCATTTCGATTCACCTGACAAAAACCCAAAACCTCTACACAGCTACAGGATTCGCCCTTGGAAATTTGCAGCCATCAGTCTCCCACGATGACTACCCGCACTCCCGTTCTCGCAAACTTCGCCTAAACCCTCATACCAGAGCAACTCGACAACTAAACGCCTCTCAACAATCTGGGTAGATGCCTGGACGAAACGGTGGCAGATGATCCTGCAACGCAGTGCTACGAAGGCGGAACTGTCTAGCAGTGTCACCCTTAAACCCTAACCCTGGCCTCCTGCGTTGCGTAGGGTTGATTGGGTTTTAGGACCCCTTAGTTCCACCTGTATAATCGGAACTGGCTCATAAAAATAAGAACAAAAATTCCTACAGGGGAAAATCATGACTGAATGGAGAAAATTAAATGTATTCATAAAGATGGTTTCAGATGACGTTTAACAGAAGGAATAAAATAGTAAATGATTGGAGTGTGATTGTTGAAACATGATGAGATTTGTTTGAAAGGGGTATTTTTTTTTATGAAAAGAGAAAAGGAAACATTGATTTTGCTCTGCCTTCGCCCTCCGGGACGTATGATTCGAGAATCTTGTCGAGAATGAATCTTATGGATCTCAATGCGAAATGCCGGTAATTCCCTCCTGGGCCCACCATCGCTGTGCACTTTTCCGACATTGCTCACAAGATTTTGGGTTTCCAGTTCTGCTTCAGGTTTCATACTGTCTGCTCAGACGCGGTGCCTAAAAACAGAGCGCGTTAAAGATTCTACGAGTTAGAGATTTTAGGTGGCCTAACATCCCCAACCACGCATCCAGAATCAGGGATGCTAGGGTGCAATCACACGCTTCGAGAATTTTGAACCCACAATCTGTTTCGATTTCGGGGGACTTTCGTTCAGAGCAGACTTGCGTTGTAGGATCAGTGTTCGTCGCTCAGCTAGTTGGTGGGTTCCTTGCTGCGTTCTGTTGTTGTGTTGTGATTCTTGGGGCGTGGGAAATTGGGGTGTTTAGGAGTGTGGAAGCGAGGAGATTGATGCAGGTTGTCATTTGTCATTTGGTTTCCGAGGGGTGTAGCAATTGTAGCAGCGATGGTGAACTCGATCGCGGAAACTATTCGATTGGGGGAACTATTGGCAGTTTCAAATCCGAAACCTCGCTGAGCGACACAACTTCGTTGCTATGGCCGAAGATAAACGTCAAAGTGGGCAAATTCTTTTACATCTTTGAAATTGTCTTCGCATTTCGTTTTCTCGCGTTGCATTCATTCCGTCGTGTTCTCTGGCATCGCACGAGTCACCTGCCTTCTATTTCATTGCGCATTTGAAGCATATGACTGTCTTGGTGCTCGCTTGCTATTTTGCAATTGCCTTGTGGCGTGTCAGAGGTAATTACGAGGCTGGAGATTACATGCTCTACTAGTGACTTCTGATATACCAAGCGCATCCGGCTGCGTTCTAGCTTGTGCATCACCAAAGCTGCTCATCTCGATGTTCTTGTTACAGATCAGATGTTGCATTGACATGGTAAATCCGGGTTTCCTACACTTAGTTTTCTCAGTTGAAGAAATGTTCGTACGATAATGCGACTTATTCATTGCACTTATTTTATCTGTGTCTCGTATGTCTTGTGCTTTGTGATTCGAATGATACCAAAATCTGATTTGAGAAAGGGAGTTGCTGCAAGGGATCAAATTCTCGCTATAAAAGATTTATGTTCTGCTGTGGTGGTGGAAAGCCGTGAACAAACTTGGCTGCCTCAATTGACTTGTCATCGGGAGGTGATTTTCGTCACTCATAAGGCCAAGGTTCAAGTTAAGAATCGTTGTTGTTTGTTTTGAAAACGTGGAAACAGTGTTGCTGAAAGCTAACATGGTGTGGATAGTGTTGAAGTTTGCGGATGACAGAGCTAGGACTAATTTTATAAGAGTACGAGCATGTTAAAAGTGGAGGTTTTTCACTTTTCAAGTTTGAACAGGTGCGACACTGTTTGACACCTAATGTACACTTTGGTCACTCTTTTGTGTGGAAAACTCTGTGACTTTTCATTCAGAAAACAATCAGCAACAATCTTAACATGGTTTCGATTTTGTTTACAGGAGATGGCTCTGAAGCATGGGTCGTTGTTAGTAGACACCAGACATGCCGTTCACGTGATGGTCGTTACTATCATTACTTGCTGCTCTCTGCCTTGAATGTAATATGCGTTGCTAAATAATTAGCTTCACAGCTGTCAACGCGGTTTTCAGGAAGTACTCTGGACATTGTCACCAGTTTTACCTTAGCACCATCTGTGGGAGGATAACCCGTTGCCTATTTTCATAAGCTGACAACTTAGAAATGTTGACAGTTCTGTTTCTCACTCTACATTAGTTCTCTTGCATTGCTGAATCGTCCTTTTGCTTTCTGCAGTGCAGTATGTGGTGAAAACTTAGTGAGATTCTCGTGCCTTCAATATTGAACCGCACCTGATGACAGGGCACGTTCATAGGAAGGGATTTTTAGGAGTTTTTTTTGTCCATTACAATTCTTTTGTGGACGAATTTCACACGTTTGTATTGCAGCTTTACATGTTTACAGACTCTGGACGTGACTTGATGGAAGTTATCAGCTCAGTACACTTGAAGTGGTTTAGACAACTACTACTGCTGCAGGTCCACAGTTTGAACTCTACCCGTCACCGGATAGCATCATCTTTTGGGGATAGGCAAGGATTAGAGCCTGGAAACATTCGAAAAAGTTCGTAATTTTTCTTTTGCTCTGGATGGGGAACATATAAATAGAGGTTTAAAACCAAACAATCGGTTCAAAGCTCAACTGCCTCATTAAATAAAATGCAATAAAAGTCATAGCAACATTGGGGTCTGAAAATGTGATAGTCTTCGTCCTGAGGCGGAATAAAGCTGGTCGAGTGTATTCTCTTCTGTTACATGCATCTTACTGAAATCAGCTACGTCCGGATGCTCTTTTGATTTGCGGGAGTTCTTGCACATGTGGTTCAAGGGCAAGTGCTATTCTTACGAAGTTTTGGGAGCGTATTACAAGTACCAAGTCTTTCTCGATATCCCCATCTCATGTTTCTGAATACTTCTGTCACTCAATCATCATAATCAATATTTTCAAAAAAATGTTCTGCGGTTTGATTTGACTTGACGAATATCACGAAATAGTTCGACATGAAACCTGTTCAACTAAAATCCTGACTTGTTTGAAACTTGTTATCACCGTGCAATCCATTCAGTCAGTAAGCAGAGCGATTTCAGCGATCAGAAGAGGTAACTGAATGTGGGCTTGTTACATTGATTTCGTAGGCAGTAGGAAGGTTTCTTTTATTCCAATTCTAAAGAGGTAGCTGAGGCTGATGTTTATTGGTTATTGTTGCTGATATTGTCAGATACATCGTAGGAACTGGTGGCTGAGCTTTCTTGGTGGTAACTATTGTATATTTCTTCTTTTTCTTTTCTTATTTCTCTTCTTCATCTCAGTGTTAGGTGCTTCTTGTTTGAAACAACTGGTGTTCGGATGCTCCTTTGCAGGCACATTGTGTGGTGCGAAAGCATTACTGGGAAGCAATCTCTTGAACAACTTCACGTAAATCCGGCGGTGCTAATTTATTCTGCATGATCTCATCATACTTAGTTTAATTATCGATTGTCTCCATTGAAGTGTAGGCCAGCTGCTGGGCTTGATGCAGCCGTAGTATTTTGTGAGAGATTTGTGGTTCCAGGCACTCGACGTACTGCCGCCAGTGATGCATGCTTGCCAGGGGATAAACTTTTTGCAAATGCTTCGACGGGTTGGCGAGCAATCAAATTTTAATAAGCCTTTTCTTGGAATACACAATTATCTCCTGAAACTTAATTAGATAATCATGTATTACTTTGAAATGTTGTGGTCCTCAAAGATGTCCTCAAGTACCCCTAACGAGCCCCATGATTTGCCCAGATGAGAAACTCGACTTATCTATTCGATATGAATAGGCATGATCACCTTTCTCAAGAATACTTGCGGTCAACGATGTGTGCATGGGCATGACCCATTGCACTAAGAATTCCACGCCCAATCTGTGCAACTATGCAAAGCATTTGCCACCGTAAAGTAAAGCCGTCCCCAGCTGTAGTTCACCAAAAAAGAATCGACACTTCACACACTAATATATTGGGAATGCTAATCCGGGCTAACTGTGTATGTTCCAGATTTTCTCGCCGCCTCGAGACACGAGAGATTGAAGGCATGGTTGGAGGATTTACTCAGTCTCATTGTCAACTCTTGAGCCCGTTTTTATATATATATAAAAAAAACCACCAACACTATGAAAGCATCAGCATAATGCTCTAGCACCATTTTATCACTAAAAGCACGTTTAGAATACTTTCGAAGATAATACCGTTTGCCAACGCGTAGTAGCATTCATGTTTCTGTCTTATACACATCGTGGGTTTCCTAATCTGGGGAGTTCGATAACACAGATTTGATCATAAAGGGGCCCGCTTCGACATTGTCTCAGACTGGTCAACTTTGTTCCACAAAACAAAACAGTGGAACCTCGTGAAGAGAAGGCTTGTTTAGTGAATCGTGAGCCTCAACCCTAGAGATTGCAAATTATTCAAGTAGGTATTTATATTTGCAAATATACATATATATATATATATATATATATATATATATTTGATCATTTCTTGGAGGGACTATGCAGCCATCAAACTGCAAAAACCGTGATGCGGTGTTCTGGGGTCAAACTTTCGGACAAACCCTACAAGGTCTGTCAGCACTATCTTGGGCAGCGCATCCTTACTGTAAACATGTCCGCCAACATCATTACGCCCCTTTTTTTTTCTCTGAAACGGCAAAGCCTGCAAGTCGTTGAGCCTTTCCAACAACTTGACACTTCACAATTTTCTAAAACTTCGTGCAGCAAAGTGACGAGCTTGAACATCTTTACAGCACCGCAAGAGAGATCTCCGTGTTCAGGCGAAAAGGGGGCGCCGTACGCATCCAAACAGACAAATCTGCAGCTCGCGTGCTCTGGGGTTAGCCCGAAACGAATCTGCAGCACTGTTTGTGTTGTTTCCACGGGACCAGCTCCCCATGTGAGGGCGATGCTCGGAGAATGTGCGCTCCAGGGTACCCCTTTGGAAAATTGGATTTTGAATTTAATGGTCAAACAGACCATTGCAAATCAACTGTTGCTGGCCCTCCCTCCCTCCGATCCGCGCAACCTACTCGTCCAATGCCGCCAAATTATGAAGCTCCTCGCACTCCACGAAACCCTAAACGCATCATCTTTCCTAGCCGACGACGACAAGGGCGGCGGGGGTGATGGGTCTAGCGTTAAATGCTACGTCCTTGGAATTATAGTTAGTCCTCTATCACCGTGTAATCCACGTTTCTGGGTACACTAATCAGAATTAATTCGTATTTCTTAGGATTAATTTTTTAATAAAACTAGTATATTGATGCTAACATTGGGAGCATTTGCTTTGGTACATTAAAGGTGAGTTGTTCATGTATAATAATAATAAAAAAATGCAATAATGAATCAGAATGCAAACAATGCGACAAAAAATCATGTAGTGTGTTACCAACCTTGTGCAGAAACCAATAAAACATGAGGAAAAGAAAACACATGCTTGCTGCATAGTATAAGATGTATAATGGTTAGTATTTATGCAAGGGTATTGATTGTATGATATATGTTTTGTCATTTGTTTCATTGATTATGATATGGTAAGTAAACCTCAAATAAATTTGTGTAAAAAATGAAGCATAAACTGCGGAGTTTGGATTACAGCACTAGAAGTAGTTGTGACGAAATGTATTTCATGGAAGTGAGGCAATAATTTAACAAATTGAGATATTTTTTTATAAACTTCAATTAATTTGAAACAAAATACGAAAATACAGTGTAGAATGTTGTTGTCACAGGAAATAAAAAAAATAAAAAGTAGCAAGGAGCCAATTGTCGTTATTATGTTTTGGAATAAACATTGTATCAAATTTGGTAGTTTCAAAGCATACTGCATTGTTTCAATCTAAAATTGAGTTATGATATTTGAATGTGATTTCTTTTTACATATTTTTTAATATTATATATTTGATTAAATAGTAGTTAAATTTAAGTCGGATATTTATTCAATCACGAAAATATATATATATATATATATATATATTTCTTTCATTCTTTCTTGACTGTCATGTATTACATTGAAATTAATTTTGTGTATGTATATTCTTAATACCATCAACCTAGAGGAATCATAATTTTGTATGGATATCCTTGATACTATTAACCTAGTGGAATTACACCTATATTTTCAACTACTGTTTTATTGTTATTATTTGTCATACATTTGATTAAAACTACCTGAAAGCTTTAACAATTCTCGCCTATTAAGATTATTAAGAGTTCAAAGATCTAAAAACTTCTACATATACTACAGAAATGTAAAATTCAGATATGAATGTGAACATAAATGTATATATATATATATATATATATAGAGAGAGAGAGAGAGAGAGAGAGAGATAGTTCAACGTCAATCAACTCTAACTCATCAACTTTACTAAGTTATTAGAAGCTTGATGCAGGATTTTATTTAAGTTTTTTAGAACACATCATTGGCTTAATGCGTTTAATCATTTAATTTTACTTTGGAATGTCATAATACCCACTGAAACATGAGTGTACTCAAATCCCATTTAGACATCATGAGTACATTTGAAGCAATATTAAAACATCATATTTTTAGTACCAAAAATTCTTTTTTCATACTTTATCTAATTTCAAAAAACTACAACATGTATGTTTTTTTATTTATTTTTATTTTTATTCATAGTACTACATGAAACTCTACATAGGAATAAATAGTGACGAACCTTCCAACATAGTAATATAGTATGGCCTTGTTATATATTTTATAAAATCTATAACAATTTCCTTTCTCAAAGGGCACATCTTTTAAACCTTACACATCAAGTTGTGCAGATTTGCAAGTCTTATGTTAACAACTTTGCACTCTTTTCTGATGCACCTTTCGATAAATACATATCAAAGAGATTCTGTGCTATTAGCCAGTCCACCTCAAAGTATGAATCTTTAATAGTTTGTTCATTTCATATCTATTATGCATGGGCACTCTGTCTCTGTTATTGACTCAGCTCAGACACACACACACACATGTATATATATATCTATATATATATACTCATCCACACATAATTGTAAGTATTATGATAATATATATATATATATATATATATATATATAAAGGAAAAAAAGTTAAAATTCAATTGAAAGTTCTTTTGACATTACACATGTTCATCTTTTGAGAAGATTTTTTCTTTGTCACAATTATATTTTTACACTAATTTTAAATGAACTTTGATGAATATTTTTAAATATTAAGAATAGGAGTCTAATTTTAGTTTTGGGAAAATATTTGCAACCTAATCATGTTCAGAAAAGGTTAAAACATTTAGAAAAGCTATTGCATGTTTAAATATAAATCCACATACAACAGCAGTGTTTAAATAGTTGTTTAGATATTATTGAAATTTTACACTCAGTTTTTAGTATAATATTTGAAAGAAAAAGATTATTTTTGATATTAGTTGTGAAACATTTCATTTGTTGTGATATATATACACACACACACACACACACATATATATATATATATATATACACCTTTTGATGGATTGATACTTATGAATAGATCAAGCCACTTTGTTGTTCTTAATTTGCTTTTTAAAATTATGTCAGTATTGTTATTGATTTCTTAACTTTGCACAAAACACGTCACAATCAAAATCTAAAATAAAATACACAAATTTTCTCTCTCTCTTGATAAATAAACAAATATATACATGTATGTGTGTATGTATACACTCTCAACAACACAAGGCATGTCCTCCAAATACTTAAATGGTTCTATTATCATTTTAATTGTTATCTGTTGGGAGATGCAGATTTCATACACAGACTACATCTTTTTATGGCATACGTACAATTTTCTAGTCTCAGACATTTTGTACATCAAAAACAAAACAAAATGGATGGTCTTGAGAGATCCAGTCAAAGAGTTACAACAACTTTCAAAATTGCAAATGGGTTCTTTGGTTTCTAGAAACTGTCAAACTTGGTTCAAATAAATGAAATAAAACTCACCCCCCCAACAACATCTCCTGACAAAGAAAAACAACATTGCTATCTTAGAATTATAGACCTAAAAGTATAATAATTACTTTATTAATTTAGCACAATATAATTTTCAACTCACCTTGTTTCAAATAGTAACACACCCCCCCCCGCCCCCAACACACAACGTGAGCCTCCCGTAAAGCTCACACTTTATAGTTGGATTGGCTGGTCCTATGACCGCTGCCATCTGTAAGGCCCCAGCCCTAAATGAACCCCTTTCACACTGCGGGAAAAATATAAAAATAAATAAAGCCCCGTGTCGCTGCTGACGTGGCGTCAGTGAACAGATACCTCCCACCACGCTGGCAAGCTTCCTCCCTTTTCACACAGTGCCATTGATATTAGATTGATCCCCCATCGTGACTGGTTGGTTTCACATGACAATCACACAAATTCGCAAGAACAAGAATGGAGGCGCCAAACCCTAATTCATATGCGATAAAGTAAAAGCTTTCCAGAGGCCAGTTTTTTTTTTTTTTTTTTTTTTTTTTTTTTAATAGAGTTTGTTACTATTTTACTTTTATGCCGAAAAGCATGTGCTTCAAAGTTTGGCTTTACCGTCACTGGGCTTAACTCCAACTCCAGAATCCTGCAAACTTGTCGCCATCTTCCATCGGGAATATAGAGATCCAACCACC